AACTATGATGCCTGCAGTGTGGATTAAAGCCAAATCAGACACCAGAAAATCAGAAAGAAATTGCTAGTTGCAGCCAAACAACAGTGAGCTTGGAGGTGGTGACTGATCTGTTTATTGGTCTACCTCCAATCCAGAATGGCTATTGACAGTCTTAATTTATCAAGTTTCCAATAAATTCAGATTTCAGTTGATAATTTCCTAGAAATATGTTGAAATCAATATTATTCTTACTTTTAGAGTGCGTGGATGAAAGAATAAAAAAAAGATCTCTTTTTCGCAATTCCATTCTTTCGAGTTTATTTCGTTCCTATTCTCATTTCTCAGAAAAGGGGGACATTACCAAAATAAAAGATTTTTCAATTGAGATGGGAATATGATGAATAAAGCAGCTGCAGAGTAAATGTATTTTATATTCATAGTAATATATTTTCAAGTTTCAGATTTTAATTGCAACTGCAGAATGTAAATAATTTGGGCAAAAGAATGGCGCTTTCATTGATTTGTTTTGTGTACTGGTTTTAGGGTTCTTTTCATGGAAGCTTGATTAGGTTAAAAGTGATGGGAGAAAAGCTTATTTTCATTTTTCAAATTTTTTTTACGTATTCATTTTCAACCACACATTCACTCATATTTTTTAATCACACGTTCTTCTAAGAATCATTATTTAAAACTCTATTCCTCGCAAGTAATGGTTGTCAAACAAGGACTCAATTAGTCAACATAATATTGGAAATATTAATGCTGCCCAGTGAATTAATTCCTCCTCCTGAACAAAACCTAATAGGAGACAAAGAAATAATTATATATGCAATAACAACATGCACCAAAAAGCTTCATTATTAACCATGAATGGGAACACGATTTCTCTCCACCCAGCATCAGAGATCTTTACGTTATAGGATCAAAATTAGTAATCAAAGAGGGTTAGTCCGTTAGATATTGCTAGAAAACGAGTCTTTATCGTGATGAGCAGAATTCCCTGCTGGCTAGAGAATTTTGATCTCAATGTACGGTGTTTGAACTTAAATTCCAAATATAAACTACAGGAATTAAACAAAAGAGTACAACAAGTTTGACACTCGAAGATGTGGTGAAATATGTACCATTGATTGTTAAAATTGTTGTTAGAATCAATATATAAAAAGCTGTCATCTCACAATGATGTCAAACTTGATGTCAAATTTGATGCACGTACATGTAGCAAGATTGTAAACTACAGACAATGGCAGAGCTAGAAAGATATGTTAGGATGGGCTAAAATTTAATTTTTTTCAAATGAACTTATACAATAAAAGATGCTCTATACTACATGAGATTTAGCTTAAAAGGTTAAATTCATGACACTCATAATAATGTGAGTCATAATATATTTTTGGACACTCATAACAAAGTTCTAACAAATATATTTTTAACTAATAAAATTAAGTATATAACATATTATTTATTTTGATAATAACATCAATTTCATGATCGAAATAAATAAATTTGTAACTCACAAGTATATATAAGTAATATATGAAAAAATACATTAGAAAAAAATTAACTATTAAGCTTATTCAAACATGTGGCATTTCATACTGTTCAAATAAGTTATTTATCTTTAATTCATAAAAATTATTTGTTATATAATAAACTAATTTGATTATAAGTGAACTCTTTAAACTTAATTATATATATTGTTGAGAGTAAAAGAAGTCCCACATCGGCTAGACATGAGAAATATGATGGGTTTATAAGGATGGACAAATATCTTCATTGGTATGAGGTCTTTTGAGGTAAAGTCCAAAAGCAAATACATGAGGGTTTAAGCTCAAAGTGGACAATATCATACCAATGTGGAGATATGTGGTGTCCTTAGCCCAACAAATGGTATCAGTGCCCAGGGCCCAAAAACTTAGCCGAAGGAACACAGCGGAAAGCGTGGTGGAGGTCTCCTCCCTCCCCAATTAGCCTTACGTCTTGCTATACATCATTAGCATTTGAAGTGTCTTGTATCGAAAGTCTTCTTGACATAAAAATATGGTGGTCAAGCAGCAGGTCCCATTTCGTAGAGTGCGACGACAATAACGACGGTACAAGATGATTGGTTGATGGATTATCGTTTGAGGAGATGCCACAATGATGTGGTCCTTCATTTGAGGGGAGGATTGTTGGGAGTAAAAAAAGTCCTACATCGGCTAGACATGGGAAATATGATGCGTTTATAAGGATTGACAAATATCTCCATTGATATAAGGCCTTTTGGGGTAAAGCCCAAAAGCAAATCTATGAGGGTTTAGATCCAAAGTGGACAATATCATGCCAATGTGGAGATATGTGGTGTCCATAGCCCAACATATATGTGTGTAAAATAAAATAGAGAAAATTACATGAAAATCTACTTTTAAAGATTCGTTTTAAAAAAACAGGTGAATTAATTTTTATTTCACAAATCAGGTGGTAATTAAGTTTTAATAATTATAATTAATAAAAATTTAATTAAGCCCCTGTTTGTTTTAAATTCTTTCAGCCATTTAGAAATTTCAATAGTTAGGCAGTAGAAATTGACTTTTTGTTTCATGGTGGGACCCTCAAACAATGCATAAACCTACTAGCTACATATTCACCTCACCTAACCCCCACCCACGCACCATTTCAAAATCTGTAATTAAATTTTCTCTCACTACTCATTCTTCCTCTCTCTCTCTCTCTCTCATCTCCTCCTCTGTATCTTCTCTCTATTTCCATCCATCATCTTCATTCTCTTCTCATTTTCCACCGGCAACCACCATTTCAAAATCTGTAGTTAAATTTTCTCCCACTACTCATTCTCTCTCTCTCTCTCTCTCTCTCTCTCCATCCATCATCTTCCTTCTCTCCTCATTTTCCATCGGCAGCCACCGTGGAGCAGCGTCCATGGGATCGAGTTGTCGCAACCACAATCGTGACAATTTGGCCAAAGGCGGGTGAGTTCGTTACAGACCCACCATCGCTTGTCTGCCATCGTCGCCGGAGACATACCATCATCTGCTTTGGCCTTTCTCTTCGTAGATTTTCTCATTTCTAATTATAGAGATGATGATGGTGGTTGTTATTGAGGATGCAGCGGTGGTTTGGAAGCTGTGGTGGTGATGTGGGTTGTGGTGGTTGATGGCGGCAGAAAAAAAATTAGTGCAGAACAACAAAAATCAATTATTTTCTATTGATCTACACAGTAGATTTGATTTTTGAATTGTTGGAGTTTGTTGGTAGTTTTTTTATCCATTTGCTGTGGTGTGTGCAAATTGTTCATCGTGACCATTTGTGACCAAATATGTGCTTATTGTGACTGGTTGTGACCGATTATGACCGGTTAATTGTGACTCGTTGTGACCGATTGTGACTTGAAATTCTAGAAATTTTTTGGAAGTTGGGAGTGGGTGGATGTGGTGGGTAAGTTGATCGGAGCATGCGTTGGAGTGATCATTGGAGAAGTTTGCCGGAGGGATCGTCGAATAGCTACCGGAGCGAGTGTTCGGGTGATCGTCAGAATAGTCGCCGGATCGACGGCCGAAGTGATAGACGAAAAGTCACCAGAGCAGCCACAAGAGTGATCGTCGAAACAGTTGCCGGAGTGGTCGCCGAAGCCGATGGCCATCTCCGGTGGAGAGGTGGAGGGAAGGTGGTGTAGTGGGGTGATAGGATGGGGTGTGTGAGGTGGCATGAGTGAAAATAATTAATATAATTATATTATATTTTAATATTTAATAAATTTATTAAACACCTGATTTTTGAAAAGATTTTTGTAGTTAGTTATTTTTGAAATGTAATTCTTAAATGTAGGATTTATGTATTGTTCCCAATAAAATATCTAATTTGGGTTGGGAATGAAGTTAGTTGAGCTAAAATTAATTTTTGGATTGTGCTAAATTTTTATTCCTTTTGATTTTCATCATGAATTTGGGCTAAGTTTTGTAATTTTTACAAGCCAATTTGCTTTTGGGCTATAGTCCCGCCCAGCCCCCCTCCATCCGCTTCTAACTACATATGCCACGTTTTGACGAAGAACGTGCAACCCCTTCCCCCTTTCCCTTTTTTTTTTCCTCTTAAATTTTACGTTTATATCTACTTTCTTCTATACATTATTAATTTATGAATATAGACTTCAGAATGCCACATCTATAATTTATGCTTTTTTAATACTGTATACTTTTGTTGCATAGTTCTGAAGCATATATGTAATGGTAGGTTTGTACCTTGGTTGAGAATTATTGTTTGAATTTCTTCAATAATTTATGCCTTCTCGGATTGTTTATGGGCTATAAATTCAGTTTACAAGAACTGCTCCAAAAGGTCCCTCTTTACCTAAGTCAGATTGAAGTTGAGCATGTCTACACTTGACAATCCAATACGAACAAGACATTTCTATAATGCCTGTTTGTATTGGATAGTGCCAATTTTTGGTTTCCAGGTGAAGTCCTTTCTATAGTAATTACATTACGCTTTCGTAATCTGCTTCCCATTCGCAAGTTTCTTATTTTTCATGAAGTGTTTCCAACATCCGAAAGTAGGCTCACAGGCTTTTGTCTCCTTTCGTCTACTTGTATAGACAACTTCTTCCAAATTGTCATCAGACTCAATGGTTGTTGGTTAAGTCGCACTAGCATTTTTTTGGATTTGAAACGCTGTAAACTTGAGATAAATCGTAGACAGAAGAATTAGATTTACCGAAGAATTGGTTAACATCCTAATTGGGTTCATGGGGCGATAATTGTTCGATATCAGACATAGTTATAAACCGAGGACAAAAGTACGTAGCCGCTGCCAAATGGGATACCTACATACCCCGTGGAAATCATGAACGCGTGTGTTGTGATATGTGACATTTGGGGGATCCATGTCAGCGGTGGGTGGTTCAACTCTGCTCGGCTCATCAACCCCAATGTCTTCAAGCGGCTCCACTTTGACGATTGCCTTGTCAATGATGGTGAACCCCTAGAGTACGGTCGTACAGTCTCCTTCCTCTATGGAAACACCTGCCGTCATCCCCTCTCTGTTTCTTCCATTACCGACTGACTAAAATCTGCCTTGATATTGGCCTGAATTTCTATTTTCATCCTCTTCTTGAATTCTCTCCTTGTACCCATTTTCTGGAATTCAATTTCTTCACTGAAATTCTCTCTCTTTTTTTTTATTTGAAGGGACAGCCTATGGTCAACATCTGACCTTCTGGCTGATGAAATTCTTGGTGTCTCCTGCAGGGAGCAAGTATCGGAATTAAAATGTTGTCGAGGATGAAACTGGGATTTTGTTACAGGCCTGGAATTTGATGATAATGAAGGAGAGGTGATTCAGGAAGGAGATCAAGACCCATAAGTCTTGCTACTAAATTTGGAGTTTTAGTCCCTGGAGAATTGCTGCTGCACTTTGAAGTAGACATCCTAGGTGATCTATTTTCACTACCTGTTCTAATTCGAATTCCCATCGGGATTATCAAAAACAGAATCAAATTATTAAAGATTTAGGGTGTGTTTGAATCTAATTTTGAGGAGAATAGAAATTTTGGAATAGTGATTGATGTGAGAATGTGTGGTGGAAAAGTGATGAAAAGTTTTTGATTTGTGTTTAATATTTTTTTATTTGAAGAATGTGTGGTTGAAATGAAGATTGAGAATGAGAATGGGAATGAGAATGAGAAATTAATGGGTGCCAAACAGGGGCTTAACATACTAATTGTTACACTTAGAAATTACGTGGCATGCTCAGATGGAGGGGGTCCCATATATGTCGACGTGGTATCGACTATTTAATTGATTGAACTATTTAATTAAACAATTGCATCTTGGGCTCAGCCCATCAACCACTGACTTATTAACATTTTTCTATATATATGTAAGTTTCATTCACAATGAGTATGATTTCTAACCCTATCAAAATTCCCTCTTTTGCAATCTCTTTTTCTCTCAGTCGGCCGTTGGCTTCATCGTCGGAATGCAAACGGTCGTCGGACATTTTTCTCGACCGGTGACCTTTGCCTCCTAACGGGGTATTTCATGTGTGCAGATGATGTCTACGTGGAGGGGAGGTGAAAGGAATTTTGTTGACGTATTTTTTGAGGTCAACACTAATCATAACTAATAATTACTCACTTTTGAAGCACCAAAATCTTTCTCTGATCTATATTCGCATTGGAAAAAGAAAAGAAAATTATACTTACAGGGATATTCAAATTTCCATCTTCTTTCATGGCTAATGACAGCGAAGCTGCAGCATCCATGGGAGGCTCCTCTAATTCCAAGCTGTTCCTTGGTGCTTCCACTCCTGCATTAAACCAAATTTTGAACTCAAAATCTACAAAAATACATACAGAAAAAATTAAATATTTCTTGAGTGAAAAATGAGACCTTTTGAGTAGAGTAGTGTCTTCGTCTTGAAGTAGAGAACGGGAGTGCAAGAAAACTGAAAGTGATGTAAATCAAAGATTTGAGAAACAGCACACATGCAACCATTATGTGAGTATGTGTTTGTGTGTTTATGTATGATCTTTACTCTCTCTCTC